TTACACATTGTAGTCGTGGGGTGTGCGATAGACTTACCTCCACGTGGTGCACCCTGGGCAACGTATACTCATACGGCAAAAAAGTCTATTAACTGGCAGTTGACTTCTCACTTCAAACTACCATGACCCCACAGTATGTCATATTCGACTACTTCCATAGTACTCACCTCACCTTTTTTCTACCTTTGTGTCTGTCTCTTTTACATCTTTTTTAACACTCTTCTGTTCCCCCTCCCCTATCGTCTTTTTTCACTTTGATGTTCCTCCTCCTCTCTGTGAAGCCTGAAGTCAACTAAAGGGCTAGTGATAACCATCAAGACGCCTGCCATTTGATATAATAATAACATTGTAGTCGAGCCACCAACAACGTTCTCCCACGCAAAATGGTTGAGTAAGACTTCACTCTTTAACCCTCATTTTCCTATGTTTCTACACGCTACACTCAGCACAGGCCAACATCAGTCTTTATTAGTGAGTTTTTCCCAGTAGCTATCATCCCCAAATACATTTTTTAAGTATGATGAAAATAGCATTATTCGATTGATGAGTAAATGTTTATCAATAGCCAAGTACAACCAAACCAACTTTGAATAAAGCTGCATTTAATTAATTTGGTCGATCTTTGTTTTGCAATAAGGAAGAGCAAAAGCACAAAGTGAAAAGAGGCTAAGAAGAAAGCAACTAAAAGAGAGGAAAAATAAAATAAATAACTCGAAATGAAATTCACAAGAACAGATAAAATAGCGGCAACAGTCATATCACTTTTTTTTCGCGGTACGGTAAGAATAAATAGACATTGCATTTGAAAATCGGCGACAGAGTAGACACTGCTAACTAGAAATCAAGAATGAACACCGATAGGAAAAAGGGAGGCAAAACTACTTGAACCTAGACATAAAGCAGAGTTGACGGGGAGGTACACGATAACATATGGGTGGTTGATCTAAGGTGGGCTGAGATTAGGAAGTGGGAGGTGATTTTCGCCCTACTAATAAATAGGTTCGCATCTCGCCCTTTCCTTTCACAAACACCTTCCCTCGATACTCAAATTCATAGTGTTGGGATAAACGATTCGCGACTTGTTCTGTGACCTGAACTCTTCCTTTACGACCTGTTGAGTACATTCTGCTGGCGACGTTTACAGTATCACCCCAGATGTCATACAAGAGTTTTGTTGTACCAATAACACCCGCGGTCACCTCCCCAATATTATATCCAATCTTCAATTCGAACTGGAAATTAAACATCTGCTGATTGAAATCATCCAGGATCTTCAGCAACTCTATTGCAAGGTCCATTAGTGCACAAAGATGATCATCAGGAGATTTATTCTCAGCCCTTTGGACCAAATTCAAACCCGATGCAGCCATAAAGCATTCAGCAATAGTCTTGATCTTCTCCACATCTTTAAATCTTGCAGAAGAGAGGAGATGTTCGAAATCTGCAAAGATCTCATTCAACACACGCAACATCTCCTGACCGCCTTGATACTGTTCATCGTAGAACTCGGAAAAGTTTGAAATCGAAGCAAACATGACTGCTGCATCGTCCACGTGCTGAGAGTACTTGTTTGTCTTTCTCAGGTCAGTGAGAACGAACCGCGGAATGATATCTTCTAGCAGCCATTCTCCCTGCATCTTCTCCCTTGTGATGGCTTTCTTTGCTTGACTTGCTTCATAATCCCGGTTGAAACTCACTCTGAAACTAATATCAATGTCCCGATTTAGAAAGAAAATGAGAATGAGATTGAGGGTGAGAATAACTGTGATTTCCCAGGGAAATAGACTGCTTTCAGCTGAAGCTAACCAAACAGGAGATGTGCCTAAATCTCTAGCCGTTGTCACAGTTGCGAAACCGGCCACTTGGTCCGGACAGTAATAGAAATTTCCAGCAAATGGCCAGTGTACTAGTAAACAACCGATGATACAGAGAATCATAGCGGAAACGGATTTTGTCCAGGATGAGAAGTTAGGGAAGAGAGTCAAGTTGAACAACATAAATGTGAAGAGTAGCCCATGAACCATTCGATATTCTCCAATGGAGAAATCTGCCACGGCGGTAATATCATTCGATCGACTGAACCAGAAGAGACAAATTTGAAAGTTGGCGAGGACAAATATAGCTGGAGTGCAGATGACCAGAACTCCCATGGTATTCCTCACATACCAATTGAACATTCCCCGGAAGATCTTTTGAAGAGCCCGATTGGCTCCAGGGCAGACCCCACCCCAAGAGCACAGATCAATAATAATGATAACAATAAAGAGGAGATTAAGAAAGAGAGCAATGGCAAAGACCACCGAGGGTGCGACAAGGATCAGTTGCCTTTCGGTGAGATTGGGGAAATTAATGAAACAAGCAACACTAACGAGAACAAAGAAGAAGAAATGGGCCAGTCCGTTGGTAACAGGAGTGAGTCTGGGCGTGGCGAGGGTAACAAGCACCGACCTGCGAGGAATGCGGAGAACTTGGTGCCGATAGATGTGCTCCATTGATTGAGAGAGAAAACAGAGAGAGAATCGAGAGATTGGTGGGAACTTGAAGACCTCTTCAGGTTTTGAGAGATTCCAGAGTGCATCGAGCATCTCCACGTCTGACCCACGTGATTTCACTTCGGTTTCCGCGGTAGTTGAAGCAGCAGTGAGAGTCACCTCGTTAGAACCAATGGGTGAAACGACTGCTGGATCTACTGTGGTCTTTGGCTGATCTTTGACGAAGGAGGGTGCGTTATTGGAATCATTGGGAGCTGAAGGATTCCTGCTCTAAAGATAAGTAAAAACAAACGAATCAACGAACAAAAACTGGATTTAACTCACGAAATCACCCCAGAGAATAAATCAGGAGTATAGAAAAGTGAAATTATAACGCCCAAAATATATTCCATTTAGTTCACCGGTTGAAGTTACCGTATATCCGCACTTTGCAATTGAGACTTGTATTAATAAGCCGTGTATAAAGAAGATAGCTTGAGATTGCTGATAAGCATTTCAAGAATTTGACAATTTCATGATAACTCGAAATAGTTCGAGAGAGCAGGTTTTGGGAAGAAAACATTAACAATTCAAACAAGTAGTCCTTTTATATACAAATCGATAATTTAGCCATATGGAGAAGAGTAATTTAATCAACAAGGGAGATAAGCTATATTAAACCTAACAAATATTTGCTAGGTCGTTTGTTTATAAATGAAAGTAGCTCTTTAAAAGTCCGGAGACCTTCAATAATATAGTTTCGCTCTTGAGTAATTTCTTTGCCCATTATGAATTGAGAATCAATATTAATCATAATCAACATTAAGTGAATCTGAAGACAAGGCTTTAGGAACTACCAATTTTTAGGGAAAACTTTCCAGCAAAGTACTAAAAGTTCATTGTGATATAAGCAAACAAAAAATAGTAATTCATATGAAAGCATGCCACGTAAGAAAGGCGAAAAAAAGTCAGCTTACCCTATCCAACGTGATGATTGGCTTCCCATCAAAACGCTTCTCGATGAAGTAAGTTCTGATAACTGAAATAAATTGTAAAATAAACGGTATTTAAAGATATGTGGAAACTGAAATGTACTTCAGATAACTAAAAACGCAATATTTGAAATCTGTGAAATTCAGTTGATAATGATACGCCTGTTTCCTAAGTAAAAGCTGCTATTGAAACCTGATGAATAGACTATGTTCTAGAAGTGGGTTTACAACATTATTCGACAACTTTCTTCGTAAAAGAGGCTTCCACGCTCATCTGGGATAAGAGCTTGGAACTACTGTCATAACTCCAATGTATAAAGTATTAAAAAGTCCATATCAAATTAGCTGAAACATGGGAAGCACATTTTTTTTTCACCTGGACGAAAGGTGAAAGGTCAAAGCTATTGACCTTTAAAATGTCTACGAATTTAATCAAACACAAAGTGTATAAGATAACTTCATATGTGCGAGAAGTTTGACTTTGTTCTAAGCTAAAAGTAGTGAGTAATTATAGACGACTTCAGCGCTTTTAAGAAGAAAACAGGCTTGAGGTTAGTTAAATTCGAGACAAATGTAATTTCGGCAGGAAGTCGTGAGTTTTTATAAATGTGAATACATACTACTTGGATCTTATCAGTATTAAAAATTGCATGACAAAATCTCAAATAATTATATCCTTTCCAATAATTAATGTTAATTTTGAATGACAAGCACTTTCAAAAGCGAAAAAGATTAGATGCAGAAAATTTAAAAAACAATATATATACTCAAAATATCAAATTTATATAAAAATCTTTACTGCTTCCATTGAAACCAAGAATATGAAATGCTGTGGAAAAATGCGGAGAGAGAGTTGGTATATTTGACAAAAACAGCTAAAAGCTTTACCAATTAGGTTAATGCCGAAAGTTGACCGACCGGAGCACCAGTGACAGCTTGCATGGGCTAACTACTAAGGTGTCAAAAGCAAGGAAAAACAGCAAGTTAAACCGACCGATAGTGGCAATCTAATTGCTCAACTCAAGACAAAGGATGAACTCTGGCCTTGAATAATATGCTTGTGAGCGGCCTATAATAGCGAGGTTAATAAAGCGAGTTCAGCAAACTTCAAAATTGGCATAAAGCACCGAGGGCCGCAAAATTAATCGACACTCACAGTCTTACCAACAAAGTTTCCCTAATTCCACACACCAGGCCGTTCTGAACCAAGCTACAACAAATTATATAAAGTTATGAAATTTGTGCAATTCAAATATTTTGGATGCTAGTACTACCATCACATTTTAAGTAATTACTATTGAACAGAGTATATTTATACATTACATAATAACAGTCATTTTGCTCCCTCAGCATAAAGCGTTCGTTAGTGGGTGACAAAAGACCACTAATTCTGCGAATGCAAAATGAACGCCAAGACTTTGTGATACACCAATATTTAACTGGAACTAAAAGATAAACAACCTAAAGAAGACCTAATTGGGATGAATTTGAGAAAAGCAAACTAAGAACATGCACACACACACTTAAAGTAGGGGGTTAGAAGGGAGTGAAAAAATTTTGAGGTCATACGATTTCCGGGACAAACGTCAGAAGCACCAGACGTAGTAACCAGGAAATAAAAAAGAAGAACCATAAAAATTCGCCCCCATCTTCGCATAAATGATGATACACAGTAATTGCGGCTGGATTGAAATTCCATCGATGCGTGCATAACTGTTGAAAAAATACCTCCGGTGTCAAAATTTAGAATCTAAAAAAATGTGTAAAGTCGAGCTGTTTTGGCTCAGCTCCGATTCCAAAATGCTACTTTTCTACCCCTAACACCTTTGCTATCAATGAGTAAAGACGGAATACGGTTGACTAAGAAGCGAATAATTGTGAATAATATTTTAATATTAAGCTACTGTCCGACCTGGAGGTTTTATCTAGACTAGCAGTCTAGATATTCTGGCTTCTAGGAGCTACTATAGGGTTATCGCCTTGTATAATTTATAAGTAAAACCCACTTTTAAGGCATTTATGGGCTGTTATCGAGTTTTAGGATTTACGACTACCGTTGTATATCAAATCATTCTAAAGGTAACTTGCTTCAGTTGATAGCCAAAAAGAAAACTTCTTCTCTTCAAAAAATCAAAGAGGGAATAAGTTCGTGGAAAGGTGCGTGAACTATTAAGCAACTGACTTACGAGACTCATCTTGAGTATGTTTGATGGCATAGCGTTGATCCTCCTTGTTGTAGTATTCAACCAACACCTTGACTTTACGAATATCTGTCAAAATAAGATACACGCACACACACACACACACTCATATAAGCAAGCTGACAACAATATAATAAGTGGACAAGGGGATGGGCAAGCACTAACCAGGTACAGGTTCGCCCTCAGACACTTGATAGATATCTTTAACAAATTCAAGTGTGGTTTCAGAAATGTGAACTTTTCCTGCCATTCCGGAGGACTCCATCTGGTTGGCCAATGTCACATCATTGGACCAGACGTCAAACTTAAATCGCCGGGTACCGACCAAACCGCAAATGACCTTCCCAGTATGCACGCCGACTCGCATGTTCACCTAAGGGACGAGTGAAAAGCAAACATCTTTAGCATTCCATTTAGTTAATCCGCACTTCCACAAAGAGAACAAAATCTGTCAACACACAAATTTGCCAATTTACAACTCATATCTCTGTTTGTGCCTCTAAAAAGAAAAGGATGTCTGAATCCCGTCAAGCTGGAGGTAGCTGATCAGTTTGATAAGTGGGTATTTCCGATACTAATGTTGTATTAACGACAAAATTTTAGAAACCAAACAACATAGCCTTAGAATATATATGGTAGAGGGTATCTTTCATAGTCATTCAATTTTGAATGCTTCACCTGAGAACATAACGACAATTACAAACTATACCAGGGCAATTAGCTAAGTCATTTTTACAAGAAACCAAATCTCCGCGATTATTCACTATTTATCAATGTAAATTGCCAAATATTTCCCTGTAGACGCTTGTAGACTTCCCGTTAGATATCGATATTCAGTTATTAATTTTAAAGAAATTAATACTAAAAATAAAGGATTGTTTTGATTCAGAAATGAATGCCAATGACAGGGCGGACCTATATTATTTGAGTAAATTTGTTTTCTTTCTTAACCGTGAAACAAAACTCGAGCTAACAAAACTATAATCCGTGTTTTTAAAACTGTAAATGATATTTCCTCGTCAACACAAGGTCTAACAGGTTTGAAACCGGCCTAATCGTTACACCTCAATAGGTTTTGTAGACAGTTATATGGATATCAAACCAGATTCAGTATTTTCAGGAATGTCAAAAGTGAATCTTCACATCAGACAATAAATCAAATGGAAGCGTTACACAAAAATTATATTATGGGAAGCCAAATGCCGGCTTCTGACTTCAAACTACCACGACCCCCCTGGTTGTCATATTCGACTCCTTTCACAATACTCACCTTACCTTTTTCTTTACCTTTGTCTCTGTCTACCTCTTTTACATCTGTGAATCGCTCTTCTTTTCCCCACCCCTCGACTTTCTGCTACTTTGATGAACCTTCCCGCTGTGAAGCCCGAAGTCAGTTAAATGGCTAATGATAGCTATCAAAACGCCTGCCATTTGAAATAAATAAATAAGTTTAAAAGATTGGGCAGTGATTTGTCTTTTATTAGCATATGGTAGATCTGTTTTATTCTTCTGTTGGTGATTATAGAGAAATGAAACTAATTCATTAAATTTTACTTAAGATAAACGCTTTTCACTAGTTTTTTTTTGTTTTTTGGTAAATATGTGACTTATTCCCCTCTTTCCCTTGGGTAGAGTTAAGCTAGAGGGAGGGGATGAGGGGGGGGGGGAAGGGGGTGGGGATTAGCAACAGTCCAGTCAGTTCCGATTCATATGATTGGCATGTGCTTGTTCGTTTGTGTGGGGTCAGACGGATTTGCCAGTCCATCAATCTTCCCAAAGCATCGTTCATACTCCCCACTGGAAGTAAGCCAAAATCCAGGTCACCTAGACTGTGCTTTATCCTTTTACTTATGTATTTATTTTAAAAACGTGAAAGTTTGTAAGAACGAAATCTTTGACTACACCTTTTCTCTTTTTTTAGTACTGAATTTAATTTGGGTTAAGCATTTTTTTTAAAAAATGATCGAAATTATGATTTGGTGTGCTTTGTTGATTTCTTCCTGCGCGGTCAAAGGGGCAGGAAGTCTAGTTCTTGCCGCTTTGATCTATGTGTGCCCACAAGCTTACGTCAAGCCTTGTTTGATTCAGACGAAGACAGAGATGGGAAAGAAATGCAGATTTTCCAAAACGTTTAGTTCAATTTGAACTTGTCTACTTCTGATTAGACAATTAATATGGATATGAGTAGTCCTCGTAGTGTTGAAAGTACAACAGTATTTCACGCAAAAAACTGTCAAACTGTCAGGAGCTACGAATGTGGCAGCATATCGATAAAAATGATAGGCAACTCTAATAGAGTGAAATAAAAGTGAGATTTGACGGGTTTCATTGCGAAAAATTGAAATTCTGTTTATAACTTATGCCTCTTTGTTCTTTAAATCTACTTAATGAAAGGTATCACATGGTTTTCTAGCAATTTGCAAGTTCAGAAGAAGTAGAATTCACTCGAGAAAAGGACATTTTATCTTAAAAGAACCATGTAAGAGTTAAAAGGCATGCAAGGGGTCATGTCTACGAGATGGAAAGTTGAGGACCGAGAATGATTTGACTCTTGAGAAGGAACATCTATGAGTGCTAGGGGCCTTGATTCCGCTAATACGTCGCCTATCAAATGTCCTTTCGGTTACAATAAGTTTAATCCTCTTAATCGTAAATTTTGTCAAGTTTTACTCAAGGAAAGCTTTTATCTTAAACTATACAGCTTTAAAAAGTTAAGCATTGCACGGAGCTTATTAGGTAGGATGAAGTATTTATTTATTTAAGTCTATCGAGCACCACTTATTTCAATTATATAATTAATTAAACTTCCAAATTTGACCCAAACTTAAATTCATCGTTAGTGAAACTCAAAGTAATTGAAATTTAGTACGAACTATAACAATTAAAATTCCTGTGACTGTTTTCTGACTACAGCATGACATGACCAAGCAGAGACAATACGACCAACCAGCCACTTCTTTAGCTAATTTAGATACTTAAAGGAAAAAATCAAAACAGAGCATTGGCATAATTGAATGTCAAAGGTTAAGGTTCAGCCTTTAAGGGAAATTCGACACCTCTGTGTTAGCAGAAATCATAGTAAATAAAACTTCTCTGCTTCTTGTTGCATTCACGTGTTACTCCCTGATTAAAATATGTAACTATTAAGCGTTAGAACTGAGATGAATTTTATTAATTTATTTATATCAAATTGCAGGCATTTTGATAGTAATCATTAGCCCTCTACTTGACTTTAGGCCTCATAGAGGGGAAGGAACATCAAAGTGATAAAAGGCGAGAGAGGGGGGGGGAGAAATAGAAGAGTGTTTCAAAGATGTAAAAGAGATAGACACAAAGGTAGAAAAAAGGTGAGGTGAGCATTGGGAAAGTATTCGAATATGACATACAGTGGGGTGATGGTAGTTTGAAGTGAGAAGCCAACTGTCGGTTTATAGACTTTCCCGTGTGAGTATACGCTGCCCCGGATGCACCACATGGAGGTAAGTCTATCCGTACCCCATTGGAATTATGTTAATAATATTTTTTCAAATGGCAGGCGTTTTGATAGATATCATTAGCCATTTAACTGACTTCGGGCTTCACAGCGGGAAGGTTCATCAAAGTAGCAGAAAGTCGAGGGGTGGGGAACAGAAGAGCGATTCACAGATGTAAAAGAGGTAGACAGAGACAAAGGTAAAGAAAAAGGTAA